AAGTCACTCGCTCACAGCTTTAATGCTGGTAGCTCACAAAGTAGGATTTCTGCTCACAAGACTCCACAGAGGGAACCTTGGTCTCAAGGCAAGAGATAGAGATCCAAACTAATCTCAACCCCTACGGCCTGGTTGTGACCCTAGTGGCAACAGGAGGATTAGTTGCGCCTTGCGTTGATGTCAAAGCCGATGGGGCATACATAGAGATGACTTCTGCATGACTTAGTAAGTCTCTAGCCTTCTCCCTTGCAGAGATATAAGGGGAAAAGGTATATCTTTGCAAATAAAGACGCTAGAGACTTCCTTTAAAAAGAAATGAACACTGGGGATTAAGGTTGCCTGGTACCACCTGCCAACCGGTGGGGGGGGGATCATGAGGGACTTACTGTGAGCAAAGAGAGACCTAGGCCAGCATTGCTGGTGAAGCAGGGCGTGCCCCGGAAGCAGTGATGCAAGCCGAGGCTTCCTTTTGCTTTCAGTAAGTCATAGAATCGTCGAATCACAGAGATGGAAGGGGCCACACAGGCCATCTAAACCAACCCCCTGGCTCAATGCAGGATCAGCCTAGACTCTCCCTGATAAGTGTTTGTCCAGCCGCTGCTTAGAGACCGCCAGGGAGGGGGAGCTCAACCACCTCCCTCGGCAGCTGACTCCTACTGGCCCACTGATTAGTCCCCCACTGGCCAGCTGGTTAGTGCTAGGGGAGGGGCCCTGAATCAGGAAATCCAGATATCTGAAGAAGTGTGCCTACACACAAAAGCTTGTCCCCCAAATTAAACTGTGTTAGTCTTAAAGGTGCCCCTGGGCTCAACCTTTGTCCTCTACCTATATGTAAGGCTTGGGGAAGTCCGTTCCAATGTATCTGAGGAAGTGTGCCTGCACACGAAGGCTTATACCCAGAATTAAACTCTGTTGGTCTTAAAGGTGCCCCTGGACTGAAACTTTGTTCTGTTGGTTCAGAGTTCAGACCAGCACGGCTACCGGCCTGAATCTGTTGTTCCAAGTGTTTCTCAGCTCGGAATGTCAGGAATCCCTGATAAATCCCTGATACGTTTTGGTTCCCTCCCCTTTCGAGTCCTAACCGATGGACAGAATTCCGTCCTCCTGAGTCCTCCGGCAACTAGGTATTCGTGCACTTTAGCCTGCGGGCTGACATCTCAGAGGGGTGTGGCGTGCGCGCTTGATGCTTCCTGAGGTCAAGCGTTTCTCAAGCATGTAGGCTGTTACCTTGGTGACACATTTCTATTTAAAGGGCTTTCTCCTGCTGCTTGCCACGGATCCCACTCGCTGGGGGGTGCGCGTCGTGTGCGGAATATATTTGCCTTCATTTAGCACCTCTGCTGTCAAGGAGGAACCTGTAAATGTCCACAGATACACATATGCGCAGACACAGTGCTGCTCCTGGGCCCACTGCAGGGAGACGAAGTCTCCTAGGAAACCATCTCCCTTCCCCAGCGGGAAGGAGCTTTAAGACGGGAGCGGTGGCATCTATAGAAGGCATTCTTCTCCCTCCCGCCCCCAGTCCCTCTGTCCAGGTTTGCACTTTTCCTTGCTTCTCAGGAGCAAAGGTGTGGCAGGCAAGAATGGTTGCTAAGGGTCTGGTGCTCTCTCTCTCTCTTTTTTTAAAAAAGTTTTTTATTGCACAGATAATCACAAACAGTTGAAATTATCTACAGCAAGTTAACAGAAACTATCAAGAAATAATATCCAGTTTCAAATGCTTACATTATTTCTATTATACTTTAAAAATTGAAACTAATCTGGATAGATCCAGCATTTAAAAAAAATTCACCATATTGCTCTAAATAGTTCAATATAGGGTACCAAATAGACTCAAAATCTGATTTATACTTCTCTACAGATTTAAAATCCAACTGTCCAGTTATCTTTGCCATTATGTAATGTTCCCATAATTTCCTATGCCACAAAGAGAGCGGAGGAGCTATCCGTAGGGCTGCCAATTCCCCCCGGGAGGTGGATTCCCCCCCGCTTTAGAGGCCCAATTTACCACAGCCATTTGAGGGGAAAACATAGAGTTTTCCCCTCAAATGGCTGTGGCCCCGCCCCCAGCGTGCCCGGCGTCATCATGTCACATCCGGGTGACGTGCATGCAGCCCACCCCCAAAATATCCAGGTATTTCCCAAGCCAGAACTGGCAAGCCTGTGAAAATCTGGCTGTGTTGGACTTCATTTTGACCAGCAGAGAAAAAAGGAGAAGAGCCATTTTAATTTGCCGGTTGCCTATTTGTTTGGACTCAGCGTGGGAAGGGGCAATTTGTGATGGGCTGCTGATGGATAACCATGAGGACTAGAAACATTTGCTTTTTAAAAATGTATTTGCATTTTTTATAGCCCGCTTTTCTCACAGGGACTCAAGGCAGCAGATGCCGAGAAAATACAAGATTAATTCTGAGTAGGAGATGTAGAGCTTGAGCTCCAAATAGAAAGTGCCTTATGAAGCATTAGGAGCTGCGGTGGCTCAAGTGCTTAAGATGCTGAACTGCAGGCCGTGGAAGGTCGGTAGTTCAGCAATTCGAGACCCGAGTGTGCCGCATGACCTTGGTGTTTAGTCATGCCGGCCACATGACCACGGAAACGTCTTTGGACAGTGCTGGCTCTTCGGCTTGAAAATGGAGATGAGAACCGCAACCCTAGAGTCGGATTTGACTGGCTTTCGAGCAAGGGAACCTTTACCTTTTTATGAAGCACTGAGGGAAACAGAGTGTTTACCCAGGAAATCTGTAGCATGGCAATTGTTGGAAGCAACAGCAGCAGCACTGCATGACGTAGAATAAAGAAACAAAAGACGAAAAAGCAAATTTGTGGACTGTAGTTGGACTAGTGAACATTGGTGGGGTGCAACCTTTTCTCCAGGGGGGCTGATCTCTGTCACCTGGAGACCAGTTGTCGTTCCAGGAGACCTCCGGGCCCCACCCGGAGGATGGCAACTCTACAAATCCCAGTTCACGCACTTTCATTCTGCATTGCAGGATCTCAGGGGCAGAAACAGACGGGCTCAGGAACCAAGGCAGCCTTGCTGAGACAATGCACAGGTAAGAACACAACTTCTTCTCACTCCAAAGACGGTGTTTCGATCCTGGGTTCTGGTTAGTGACACAATTAATGTGAAGTGCAGTAGAGATGGACTTAGGGTTGCCAAGTCCTACCTTCGTAATAGCAGGGGGGGTTCCGGACGTCCCCGGGAGTCTCTTGGTTTGTGTGCTTTGCGCGCACGCCGCAATCATGTCACCTGGAAGTGACGCAATCACATCAGGCACGTTGGGGCCGGGCCACAATCATTCGAGGGAAAACCAGGGCCGGCTCACTCACTAGGCGAACTAGGCGATCGTCTAGAGCGGGACGGCCCTTAGGGGCACCAAACTGCACCCGGCCCCATACTCTGGGAGTTTCTTGAGTATTTGTGTTTTTCATTCTTCCTAAAATGCCTTTCGGGCGGGGGTTTCCCTGCCCCCCAGGGGTACTTGGCAACCCTAGACGAACTGGTGGTTGAGAGCAAAGCCTCTGTGCGTTCAGCAATTCTGCGAAAAGAGGGGGGGGATTTCAGGAAGCGGGGTTTTCTCGCAGCCTGTCGAAGCCGTCAAAGGTACCGGTGCTCTGGTGCCCTCCTTGTCCGGAATCTCCTCTGTCGGCGCTTTGTTGGTTAGGAAGTGGGAAAGGCTCTTCTCCAGAAGTAGAAGCCAACCTTTGCACTGAACCGTTAAAAGAACAGAACTGGCTTGGCTGAGTTGACAGCAACAGTTTGAAAGGGCCAAAGAACAGGGGAGGGTCCACGGCTCAGTGGCAGAGCCTCTGCTTGGCATGCAGAAGGTCCCGGGTTCAATCCCTGGCGTCCCCAGTTAAAAGGACAAGGAAGGAGGTGATGGGAAAGACCTTGACCTGAGACCCCTGAGAGCTGCTGCCAGTCTGAGTAGACGGTACTGACTTTGATGGGCCAAAGGTCTGATTCAGTATCAGGCAGCTTCGTGTGTTCAAATAATAAAAGCATCTACTATTTGCAGAACTCTTTCAGTACTCCAAGCATTTACCCAGGCATATCATCATGTTGCAGTCCTTAAAAAAGCCCTGTAAGACCAATATTAATACTATGCCCATGTTGCTGAAGAATAGATTCTTTTGAACTATGGTGCTGGAGAAGACTCTTGAGAGTCCCTTGGACTGCAAGAAGATCAAACCAGTCAGTCCTAAAAGAAATCAACCCTGACTGTTCCCTGGAAG